GTAATGGAAGTCTGCCTTCCCTGAGGATTTGAAATGATCCAATTTGGGCCTGGCACGGTGGCTCACGCTTGTAATCCCAGCACTTTGGAAAGCCGAGGTGGGTGGATCACCTGAAGTCAGGAGTTTGAGACCAGCCTGGCCAACATGACAAAACTCCGTCTCTACTAAAAATACAAAAATTAGCCAGGCGTGGTGGAGGATGCCTGTCATCCCAGCTACTCAGGAGGCTGAGGCAGGAGATTGGCTTGAACTTGGGAGGCAGAGGTTTCAGTGAGCCAAGATCATGCCACTATACTCCAGCCTGGGGGACAAGAGCGAAACCCTGTCTCAAAAAAAAAAAAAAAAGGAAAGAAAATTAAAAATTCAGCTCCTCAGTTGCACTAACCACATTTCAAACGCCTGCTCATCAGTGCAGGCTTCAGTGACCATGGCCTTCAGCTTCATGGAAAAAGGAAAAAAAAAAAAAAAAAAAAAAAAAAAAAAGACCAAAACCAAAAACCCAATATTTACTCTCAGATAATTTCAACAGAACACAATCTTAGAAAATAACACTTAAAATGCCCTGGGTGCAATCTAAAATTATTTGAAATATAAAGAACTGGGAAAATGTGATGAATTATCAGGGAAAAAGAAAATCAGCAGATGACCATGTCAAGAAGAAAGATACTGGACTTACACAATGACTTTATGAACATGGTTTCATGTGCTTGCTGGACACCTCTATATCTTTTTTGGAGAAAATGATTCTATTTATTTGCCTATTTTTATTTTCATTTATTATTATTATTTTTTTCGAGACAGTCTTGCTCTGTCACCCAGGCTGGAGTACAGCCTTCAGCCTCCAGTGAGGCTCACTGCAACCTCCACCTCCCGGGTTCAAGTGATTCTCCTGCCTCAGCCTCCCAAGTAGCTGGGATGATAGGCACGTGCCACCATGCCTGGTAATTTTTGTAGTCTTAGTAGAGACGCGGTTTCACCATGTTGGCCAGGCTGGTCTCGAACTCTTGACCTCGTGATCCACCCGCCTCAGCCCTCCAAAGTGCTGCGATTACAGGTGTGAGCCACCATGCCCAGAAATTTGTCCATTTTTAATAGGTTATTGTTTTTTGAAATGGAGTCTCGCTCTGTCACCCAGGCTGGAGTTCAATAGCTTGATCTTGCCTCACTACAACCTCCACCTCCCGTGTTCAAGTCATTCTCCTGCCGCAGTCTCCCAAGTAGCTGAGACTACAGGCATGCGCCACCACATCCGGCTAATTTTTATATTTTTAGTAGAGACAAGGTTTCACCATGTTGGCCAGGATGGTCTTGAACTCCTGACCTCAGGTGATCCACCCGCCTCAGCCTCCCAAAGTGCTGGGATTACAGGCGTGATCCACCATGTCTGGCCCAGATGATTTCTAAATATTTTCTCCCATTCTGCATGTTGAATTTGTTTCTTGATAGTGTCTGATGCACAAAGTTTTAAATGTTGACAAAGCCCAATTTATCTACTTTTGTTGTTGCTGCTTATACTTTTGGTATTATATTTACAAAATCATTACCAAATCTAAGGTCATGAAGATTTACTTCTATGTTTTCTTTATGGTTTTGTATCTTGTTTAGGTCTCTGGACAATTTTGAGTTAATTTCTGTATATGGTGTGAAGCAAGAGTCCAAATTGATCTTTTTACCTCAATTACCCCAGCATTTTTTTTTTTTTTTTTTTGACGCTCTTGTTGCCAGGCTGGAGTGCAGTGGTGCAATCTCGGCTCACTGCAACCTCCACCTTCTGAATTCAAGCGATTCTCCTAGCTCAGCCTGCCAAAGTGCTGTGATTATAGGCGTCCACCACCACACCCAGCTAGTTTTTTGTATTTTTAGTAGAGACAGGATTTCACCATGTTGGCCAGGCTGATCTTGAACTCTTGAACTCAGGTGATCCAACCGCCTCAGCCTCACAAAGTGCTGGGATTACAGGCATAAGCCACTGTGCCTGGTCCCAACATTCTTTTTAATACAGAGTCTTGCTCTTACCACCCAGGCTGAGTTAAATGGCACGATCTCGGATCACTGCAACCTCTGCCTCCTGGGTTCAAGTGATTCTCCTGCCTCAGCCTCCCAAGGAGCTGGGATTACTGAGTAGCTGGGATTACTGGCCCCCATCACTACACCTGGCTAATTTTTGTATTTTTAGTAGAGACAGGGTTTTGCCATGTTGGCCAGGCTGGTCTCAAATTCCTGACCTTGTGATCTGCTCACCTCGGCCTCCCAAAGTGCTGGGATTACAGATGTGAGCCACTGCCCCCACCATCATTTTTTAAGGGAATTATTCCTTCCTCCATTAAATAAGTTTGGCACTCTAGTTGAAAAATCAGTTGCCCATAGTGTATCAATTGATTTGCTATCTTAGTTTATTTGTGTTGCTATAACAGAATACCTGAGTCTGGTTGAATATAAGGAACAGAAACATATTGGTTCACAGTTCTGGAGGCTGGGAAGTCCACAACTGAGAGGGTGACATCTGGTAAGGGACTTCTTGTTGTGTCATCCCACAGAGGAAGGACAAGAGAGAGCAAGTGGGGACAAAACTTGCCCTTTTATCGTGACACCAATCCCACTCATGAAAGTGGAGACTTCATGGACATTTTTTTTTTTTTTT